CTTCCTCACACATGGTTGATAAGTCACTGAGAATTAACTCTCAAAATCCCTATCCGTCTCTAGCTCTTACAATCTCACTCTTGCAATTTGAATCTTATTCTTCAACCTTCAATCTAGAATGCCCCTAGAAAATCTTGCCCCAGTATTTATATGAAATACCTAGTCTCTCCATATATGGAGGTTACCTTAGTGTTAATTGACAAATTTAAGCCTTCTATATTTATGACGACAAGTGTTGATCAAGTAACTGTACCAGAAACAAACAGACTGATTCCTGGAATATTTATGATGATAACCAATGATTGAGTTCCCTAAACACAACAATTGCAGGCCTCCTGTCCATAATTTATGCAGGTACCCGTTGACAGAGTTACTATACTAAAATCTCCCAGACTGGTACACAGTCTAGCCCCAACAGATTTATAGTAATAAATAATGACAACAAATGAGGTCTCAATTCTCACACAAACTCAATCATTAAATCAAACCTTAACCAGGTGCCTTGCTAAAACTACAACACTGTAAACTCAATTAAAAAAATATGCCGGACATCTCATGCAAATCTTAAAAGGGGAAATCCGTCGGAAGCAATAAAGATAACTAATTTACATGAAAATTGCACACTCTGTTTGCTTGAGTCTATTCATAAAAGATAATAGAAAAAAGTGCAATACAAGACAATGACTTATCACGTGTCAAACAATACTATCCTACAATGTAGTGAACACGTTAGGACGTCCACCTCGATCGAGATATGAAGTTTGCTTATGAGAGAACTAAGAACTCGACTTGTTCAGAATGAGTGCAGACACTTGGGGTTTGGAGCTCAAAACGCCTTTAAAATCCAAATAAAATGCATATTTGTCAATCCCAGCACATGTACTGATCATATATATATATATAAAAAAACCTTAATATAAGCCGTTTTGAAAAAATTTCATATTTCAACATCTATATAATAATACACTTAAAGATGTTGAAATATGATTTTTTTTCAAAACGGCTTATATTAAGTTTTTTTTATATATATATGATCATTACATGTGCTGGGAATGACAAATATGCATTTTATTTGGATTTTAAAGGCGTTTTGAGCTCCAAACCCCAAGTGTCTGTGAATGAGAGTGTTTTGCTGAGGTGTTGAAATCTAAATACTCAGGCAATAACAAACCTAAATGATAGTCTGATGTACTTTTGTCCCATAGAGTGTGATCAAAGTATTGGGGAGGAGGTATTAGGAAAAAACATAGAAAGGGACAAAACATTTCATTGCTTGTTAATCTATACAAATAGATATATAGTAAACTGTGGAGCAATGCAATACAATTTTGTATCTACAACACCCCTCTTTGTTCCACTCTTGTATATAAGAGAATCTCACAAAAATGTTGGAGGAGAATATTTTCAAAGTATAAGGGAAATACTTTTTTAAAGAGGGACATGGGACCGGATTTTTTGTCCCAAATTGGCCCTAAAATCGCTGTTTATCAAACAAAACTAATTTAGGAATTTCCATATTTAAATGTCTTCAACTGGGAATGTTTATCACCACATTACCATTGTCAAGATGTTTTAAATTAGCTGTGCAGGCGTCTGATTGAAAGAACGTTGTCTGTTGACTGGTTTGTGAAAGCACTGATTTCAATTGAAAAGCGAAATTGTTATTCATACACCAATTTTATCTTGTACCTCTGTTTTTAAGTCTAATTTTTGCGTTCTCCTTAACTTGCCTGAGCCAAATCAGGGTCATGGACGGGTGGGTTCAATAATACCGAGCTAGCATTAGTCAGTTCTGCCGTTATAAGCGTTCTGAAAGACTTAAATTTTATCAAATTTGGTATGCAAACATGTAGGGTATTTGACAGTAGAATAAGTATAAAAAGACAGCATTGGCTAGAATGCAATATTATATCTACATCTATATATTATTTGAATATAATTTTAATAGGGCAATAAAGTTTGTAACCCCAACCCCCGGGAAAGTGCGATAGCAGACGATCTATCTGCATTGCAAGGCCAATTTTATTTATTAGAAATTATTTCATGATAAGATAAGATAGATAAGATAGTTTATTAAAGTCTCATCATCATGTACAATATTAAAACAATACAAATATAAAACCTACGACATTGTACATAAATGCCACTCATAGATGAGTTATAAGAGACTACAGTATACATAACTTTACTACAAATCTAACATACTGGACATATCTACAAAGTTACTTAAAAATAAAACCAAGTATTTTTCTTCTTTAAAAAAAAATATTTGAAGAGTTGAGACAACCAGACTGTATTTAATTTAGTTTAAATTCTGTGTAGTTTGTGTTGTTATTGCTGGTTGTAAAATTTGAATGTTACAGCAATGTATAAGTTTACAGTGTTCATGTTAATTCTTATGCAAATGACATGCGTTTAAAGTTTGTTTTGATTTGAAGCTTGAGTTACGCAGTCAGCCATACAAGTTTGCTAATCTATGCGAACTAAAATCTTCATACTCAGATACAAAAACTGTCTTACATAGAGCGTTAACAAACATCGTGATAAGCTGTAACCGTGAGACGTTGTTTAAAACTAGTTTAACTGTTGCCATTTTTATCAAAATGTCGGGAAAAAGAATTTGTGTTATTGGTGCTGGACCGTCCGGAATGTCGACACTACATCATTTTGCCAGGATGAAGAATATGCCGGAAATAGTATGTTTCGAGAAGCAGAGCACTTGGGGAGGTCAATGGAACATTTCATGGAAAACAGGTATACTTTTCACCTATAAATGTTTGACTATCATGAATGTTTCGGTAAAGTAATTCATTATGTTATTTTTTTCTACATTAAATTTGTATCAAACGTTGACGAGTTAAATAAATATTCCGTATAAAATGTTTATCCATTAATCTATGGTTAGTATAAAGTAGGTAAATGTTTGTATGTACATAGTAGTAAAGCATGGAGATCAACATTAATTTGCAAGCTGATATTGTGACCGATATATATCGTTCTCTTTTTGATAACTCACTCACTAGGTAAAATAAAGAGACACGGTTTCATGCGGGGAGAAATATTTTAATGATGACAGTATACAAATGTACATGTATGACATTCATTAAAACGCATGACCGTAAAATAGTTTCCACTTTTCGCAGTATTAAGAATGGCACAATTGACCAGTGCCCATAACATCATCTTTGGACAGACATTATCACAAAAATTGCCTCCTAGATCTTTTTTGTTATAATAATTGAATTTGATACACATGAATATTTGTTGATAAGTTGACTGGAATGATGTATTAATTATTGAATAAATTGAAAGAAGACATAATCACTTGAAGACTTTAGCTGTTAATAGTGAAGTATCAAATAAGTAACAGACATTTTTAAATGAGAAATATAACAACAACATAGCAAGTACTCAAACTCCCTGCACCGATTGCATCACATTTTGCAGTATGTCACGCCTATAAACTTCTCGCATCGCCTACGCCATGATTTGCAGAGTCCTCGCACCGCTAACGAAATGCTTGCAGACTCCTAGCACCTCTTTCGTCATACTTTGAAGACTTTTCGCATCGCCTACGCCATGCTTTTCAGACTTCTGGCACCCCTTCCGTCATGCTTTGGAGTCTCCTCGCACCTCTTACCTAATGCTTTGGAGACTCCTCGCACCTCTTACGTCATGCATTGAAGAATCCTTGCACCGGTTACATGACATAAGAGGTTCTTTGGAGACTCTTTGCACTGCTTAACGTCATGCTTTGGAGACTCCTCGCACCTCTTACCTTATGCTTTGCAAACTCCTCACACCGCTTACATCATGCTTTGGAGACTCCTCGCACCTCTTACCTTATGCTTTGCAGACTCCTCACACCGCTTACGCCATGCTTTGGAGACTCCTCGCACCTCATACTTCGAAGACTTCTCACACCGCTAATATTATACGTGGAGACTCGTCGCACCGTAATTACGTCATGCTTTGAAGATCTGAAGAAGTTTGAGCAAGAATTGTGCTAGAGTTATTTCCCTTAGCAATATTTTAGTCAGAATTTGACTTTCAGACACTGTGTTAATTGGTACTTCATGTAATACCAATACTCTTTATTTCGCATATACATTTAACTCTTGAGTTATATTTGTAGGTTTAGATGAGAATGGGGAACCGGTGCATTCAAGTATGTATAAACATATGTGGTGTAACGGAATGAAAGAGTCCTACGAATATCCAGACTATACTTTCGAGCGTCACTTTGGTCAGCCGACCCCTTCTTTTCCTTCACGTATTGTGATGAGGGATTATCTGGAAGGTGCTTTTTATTTTAAATTATGAGAGCAAATATTCAAGGATTCAAAAAGTAAATATGGAGTCAAAATTTCGACACCCAGAAACACGAAACGTAATGAGCAGCAGGGGAATATAGATGGAAAAGGAATTAGATCTACTGAAGAAAGCCCAAAACTGTTGCAGGCCGGGTTTGTTTAATCCATTATCTGCCATCTCCCGTTCATGTCTTAAGCAAGTCAGCTTTTATAGAAGTCGTCACAATATACATGTACATGTACTAGCAAAGGGTATCTCAAGCTGTATATAGAATATAGATACTTAAAATCAGGTTATGGTTGTTATATGATAATGGATTGATTGATTGATTGTTTAAGTTAATGATTGTTATTAAAACAATGATGGTATTAATGACACAAATGATAGTGATAGATTGATAATGAATAAAAATGATGGTTATTGTACAAGTATATAATGATCATGATAGTGATTTGGTGCATGGTTATGAGTTTACAATCAAAGTAAAAGAAGTAATAGCTGAACTGATATGATTGCTAAGAATTTCATTCTTAGTGATTTGTAGGCAATAGGTATCAATCGATTTATGAAATTACTCACATTTCAGGTCGCTATACAAGAGGTGCACCAGGCGGTCGCGACTTCAAGGATTACATACGATTCAACACCGCTGTGCGTTTTGTGAAGTACCACGACGACAAAGAGAAATTTACAGTAACAGTAAATGATTATAACACGGGTGAAACAAAAGAAGAAATCTTTTCACACGTAATTGTTGCAAATGGCATATACAACACACCATATCTTCCAGAGATTCCTGGCATGGATGACTTTAAAGGTCGTATTTTACATTCACACGACTTTCGTGACGCTCGCGAGTTCTGTCAGAAAAAGGTTTTGATTATTGGGGCTGGCTTTACCGGTGAAGATCTTGTTTTACAATGCATTAAATTCGATGCAAAAAGTGTGATTCTTTCACATAGAACACGTCCTAAAGGCGAAACATGTATAATGCCTGGTGGTGTTGAGGAAAAACCTTTGGTGGAACGCTTTGATTCTTCGAAAGCTTATTTCAAAGATGGCACGTCTGCCGACATTGATGCTGTTATTTTAACAACTGGCTACAGAAATTATTTCCCTTTCCTGGAGGACAGATTTCGGATATCAGAGGATACTCATGTCTATCCAAAAGGCCTTTATAAGGGAAGCTTGTTCTTAGGCCAAGGACACAATCGGCTCTTCTATGTAGGCGTTCAGTTACAGTTTAATACTCTCACATACTTCGAAGTTATTGCAAACTGGGCTTGCAAGTTAGTTTGTTATCAACTTTTACAATTTACTTCAATAGTTTACACTTCAAGAATGATATTTGCTTTAATCAGAGTACTTTTTATAGAATTTGTTTCAATTCAATTTGATGGTATCTCTTGATGTGTCCCATGTTTAAGCTCTGCATGCCACCATGCTTATTATTTTCATGGGCTCAAAAATATTCGTAAGTCTGCTTATGAAATTACAATTTAATTTACAAATTGTTAAATCCACATTTCCTTATTTGTGATGAAGAAAGTAAATGGATAAACATATCAAGCAAAAAATATACACATATATATGCATGTATGTAAATATTAATCAACCATCATATTTATCCATGGCAATTGTGATCAGTGTTATATGGGTGCTAAAATCGAATGTGGATTGAACGTTAAATAATTATGCATTGCAAGGGCGTCTTCACGAATGCCGGTTGATGTTATCAAAAGAAAAAATTGACGGTGCTTTTATTATAATGTAAAAGAAGTTAACAATTGCATCCTATTAAATGTACAATGTATCTGTATTTCACAGGTTTATCATGGGTGAACTTGACGGTGAACCGAGGGATCCGAAACATATGCAGGCAGATGCAGACGAATGGCATAGTAAGGCTAATGCATGTGCCTCGGAATCGGATGTAGTTAAATTCCAAACCGCTTTGATAAGCCATTTAGCGGAACTTGGTGGATATAATCCTACAGCCGCAAAGAATATTGAAGCCATGTTTGAATGGATACGAGTAAGAAAAGAAAGTTTGGGGCTCGCAAATTACAGAGATAATTGTTATAGAAGCATGTATACTGGGAAGGTTTCGCCAAAACAAAAACCGTTCATGCAAAATTATGACGACAGCATTGAAGCATATCTAAAATGTAAATAAAGTAAACTCTTGAAGAACAAATCAGCATTGTAATAATGTAAATTAAAGCAAAGTTCTTATTTGAATTTTAATCAAATTATGGTCGAAATATTGATTTGTTAAGCAATACATATGTTCAAGTATCATAATCCTACAAGTATCTCCATCATATGTTCGTATAGTTTCGTGTAAATGATCATTTTTCTCCCATTTTCATTCGTTACCTAAGTTACTTTTGTAATAATTGTTACTTTTCATCAAGCACGTTAATAATTATATTTTACATATTTATTTAGCTTGAGAGCTTTGTTTGATACTTTATTAAAATGAGTATAAGTACATGTACTTTAATAAGGTGCATTTTTATCTGCTGAAGTATTGTTATCTATTTTTTCTGCTTCCGTTCTTAATGATAATAAACCATTTTGACCGTGTGCTTCTTTAGATATATGGATACTTAAAGGATTATTTTTAAAGGAATTAAAGACTTCTGAAGGCATTGTAGACATTGTCTTTTTTGGCTGTGCAAAGTGAAGCATTCATCGGAAAACTGATGTACTCACCTCACTCGTGTTCTGCAATTCACCAAGCATTAAAACGCACACCAATACAAAGAAACTAACGCTCATATGGTGATAATTATCGAATGAAAAACTAGCGAATTTTTTAATACGACTATATCCCCAGTAGAGCTATTCAAAAAAGTGTCTTCTTACGTTTTACGTCTGTTAGAAGAATTATGCAGCTGAAATACAGTGTCCTGCATGGGCCAGTTAAAAGACACCTATTGGCATTCAAGTTTTTTTTTCTAAAAGTTTTGTGACGCTCTTCTATATTTTTATAAAGTAGCGAGATGTTTAATTCTCGAATGAAACTTTTTGCGCTATTATATATAATTTGTCGCCTGCTTAACTTAATCGTCTTGAGAATCAAACTGTAAAGAACTTTGCGATGATTATCCTTAACTCTAGAATGTTTCTTTTGAGAACATAGCTTATTTACAGTACCAGTGCCTATAGTGAAAGTTCTCCGAAAGGGAAAGTTATATCCGGCTTCTTAACTATTCTCGTGCTTGATACTAAAACAAGAGCCGAAAATTGTAGAGTTTTCTATGTTCAAAAAGGGCCATATTTCAGTCTTAATTCACATAAGAGTAATTGGCCTTGGATAGTGGCCTTGGATTGTGGCCTCCTATTTTGCTCTTAAATAGGTTTGTGAAGTTTCAACCAATTCCCTCTAGTAGTTTTGGAGATACCAACTTGTACAAAAATACATAACCAAAGTGTGACGCCGACACCGACGCCTGGTGAGTACAATAGCTCTCCATATTCTTCAAATAAAACAAAGATTTAGTCAATCTTAACTGCTTCAAACAGGACGCTATAGAAACGGACGCAACTCATGAGTTATTATATTACATAAAGTACCAGTATTTTTTACCCATGACTTTATACACAGTATTTGTTCTGCGAATCCAGTATTTTTCTTTTTTAACGTAAAATTTATATATTCACAGCATACAAATATTGAACCATACATCAATAAAGCTATCATGATTTTATTTCTTTGTATATCATTTATTATTTAATCATTAAAAGAATAGAATACGTCTTCAAGTTTTAATATATCATTGATTCCAGCACTTTTAAGTGTTGAAAATTGAGTACCGCTTAAGCCGGTTCTAGAGGGCGTGAGGGATGTTGCACTTTTTCATTATCCCTCATGTACAGACTCGATCTAACCGAGTCAGCAATTTTCATGTAATTGTGTTGTAATTAATGTCTCCAGGGATCACGTGACTCAAATGGCATGATTAATGTTGATCTTATTGTCATGGTCAAACGTGTAACAGACAACAAATATATACATGTATATGAAAGTTATATATCTTGAACACAAACATGAACTCGTAATTAACAAGGGTTACTTCATGTATAACGACCTCGTATTATAATTATTCAAGTACTTTAAAAAGCTGATGTATAATTAAGCCGCGTCACGACAAAACCAACATAATGCGTTTGCAACAAGCATGGATCCAGACTAGCCTGCGCATCCGCGCAGTCTGATCAGGATCCATGCTGTTCACTTACAAACCATATAACAAGTAGAGAAACTGATAGCGAACAACATGGATCCTGATCAGACTGCACAGATGCGCAAGCTGGTCTTGATCCATGCTTGTCGCAAACGCATTATGTTGGTTTTGTCGTGACGCGGCTCAATTATTATGTTAAGCTAAAGCATCGTTATATGCCCGGGTTATCATCTTGATCTAAAAGTTTAGTAATTGTTGCTAAGGGGTAAAATATATGTAATTATTTCATAAGAATTCATTCATTGCTTAACGACTATATATATTGAACACTTGGCAGTTTCGTTCGGTTGTTGATTTTTCTTTGTTTTATATGATTTGATGAAATGGTAAGTTGACGATTTAAATTATATTTTTGAGTTATAGCATTTCGGAAGTAAATTAAAGTTTCAAAATATCATATGGTATTTTAGTTTTGTTTGAAAACTTGTTTATTTGTTCAAATAACTAGATCTGCGACATTTTATAAAAAAAATCCTAAAATGATCTAAGGAAGTGCTTATAATGTGTCCCCGAACGTTTTCATCTTTGTAATATTCTTAGTTTTTATTTTGGCTTCTAGGCGGCCAACTTCACAAATTTTGAAGCGGCAGAATGAATACGTCTTAAAATATAAAGATTATGAAATAAGAATAATGAAGATATTGAAAATAATCATATAATGATCTAAGGAAGTGCTTATGGTGCTTTTTCAACCGTTTTCATGTTTGTAATATTCTTCGTTTTCTTTAGGCTACTAGACTGCCAATTTCAGACAGATAGACTGCCAACTTCTCTTACATTAAACGTAAGCACATTTCATCCATGGACAAAAACAGTTGAAAGCTGTCAAAAATCATAATTTATATCATTTTTTCCCTTTCAGCAATAATGAAGCTGGTTGTGATAGCTGTAATATTGCTCTTGCTTGAACAAATTGTTGCGAAGAAATGTTCTGAAGCACCGGGTGTTGATGGCTGTAGTATACCAGACTGGATACCAAACAAGAATAAGTTCAAACCAGCATGTTATAAGCATGACGTCTGCTACGCCTGTGTAAGTTTCTTTCACATACCTGTACCTTTTTCCCCATTTGAGCCGTGTCACGACAAAACCAACATAGTGCGTTTGCGACCAGCATGGATCCAGAGCAGCCTGCTCATCTGCGCAGTCTGATCAGGATCCATGCTGTTCGCTATCAGTTTCTCTACTTGTAATAGAGTTGAAGGATCCTGATCAGACTGCGCGGATGCGCAGGCTGGTCTGGATCCATGCTTGTCGCAAACGCACTATGTTGGTTTTGACGTGACGCGGCTCATCTATAAAACTGTTTTACACGATCCATGCTATTTTTGTTTTGTTATCATTTTATTTATACTGGCCGCTGGAATTAAGTATATGGGCTGGAATATATGCGCTAATTACTGGCACTGTGATGAACCCTCATCAGCGGCGACTTTTCAAAATGTCTACATAGGCCATCTGGAGGCGACAATATTATCCAAGAGACATCTTTCAAAATGAGTCTTTGCGTGATTCCCCCCCCCCGAGTTAGTCAGGACAGGTCAACCAATCATCTCTGGTACTAATTACAACTTGACCTTGACCTTCCAAGTGCCTTCTCCATGACGTACAAGCCTCGGAAGAAGTGGTTGTGCACAAGTATTTGAACGTGACGTAAAACTAGTATGTGTTTTAAACAACGTTAACACACGCTAAATGTTAGTTACAGAAACTTACGGTATACTTAGTAAGCGCGTCAGAGAAAATGTTTTAATTTCTTAATTATTGACAAATTTGAATGGCTTCTTTTAAGTCCAGCACTATTAAATGTTGAGAATTGAGTACCGCTCTAGCCGGTGCTAGGGAGCATGTGGGATTTTTTCAATTTTTCATTATCCCTCATTTACAGACTCAATCACACCGAGTCTGCTATTTTCATGTAATTTTCCTGTTTTTAATGCTTCCGGGGGATCACCTATTTTCCAGATATTTAAACATGTCGTCAGGAAAGTATATTTATTAGTAACTAACTCTTGCCTTTTGACATGTTAAATGAAAGTTTAACATACTTCTATAGAGTAATGCAAATTTTCAAATTACAGGGAACTGCCCTGGATGTAAACCGTATAACGTGTGATAGAAGATTTCTGTTTAACTGTTATGAACGGTGTGGGGACAAAACAAACTGTAGACGTGTTGCTGGCTGGTACTACAAGGCGGTGAGATGGTTTGGAGCGTTCGCATACCAAACAGTGTCACCAGAATGGTGTACAGAAGACTGGGTTTCTGAATGTATGCTGTAAAACTAATAATATATATATTATATATATATGAATAATTTCTTTCTTGTTCATACTCAAAATGCCGTCGAAAATCAAAATGAATGGAAGAGGTCTTCACTGTTTATATCTTTATTTAACTTGCTATCATTTGGGTTTATTATATACTCTCTAGAAAATTGGTTGTTGACCAACCTTTTAAACAATGATATTTTGAGAAGATATTTAATAATTCAGCCTTCTGTCACACACCAACCGCTATACGTTATGTATCAAACACTGATTTTTCAAGAAGAGCAAATGCATTTTTAAAACAAAGACTTCCTTAAGATTATAGTTTTATTAACAAAATTTGATATACATCATGACATACAGACATAATTTATGATCATTCTAAAATGGTGAAAGCTATAATATACAAGTACATGGTAAGATATAGTGTCATTAATAGATGCATTACTTAGAATAGAACACAATATATTTTTTGTGTGTTGCGTTTACGCCGCACCATCACTGGTCATATGACGACTTTCCAGCTTTACTGGTGGAGGAAAACCTCAAGCGCCCCTCCTTGCATTTCAGGCACGAGTAAAACCACTGACGTTCAGTTAACTGGAGAGTTTCCTCTAATGAAAGAATCCACAGTCCCTGGCGGAATTCTAACCTACAATGGTAGGGGACCTGTGGTTTGAAGTAAACGACTTTAAGCACTTGGCCACGTACGCCTATAAATAACATTTCTGCATATAAATAAATAGCCAAGTTAGAGAAATCAATTATATTTTAAACAAAGTCATTTCATCAATAATTAACCAAAGTAAGTTTAAATGTTCATTATGTATTTAGGAAATATCCTGCGGAAATAATATTTTATAATGTATACCAGTACAACGATTTTAACATGAAACATATCAAATATACTGAAAATTCTCATGCAGTCAAAAATATGAATATTGCCATTGAAAACCAAATTAAACCAATATATGTTCATACAATGAAACTGATTTGTTTACAAATTAGCACGACCACTTTTCCTCTTGTCACACCAAAGAAGTCCGGAGACAATACATAGAACTAGCATAGCAGCTATTGCCAACCAGTACGAGTAACCAAAATGTCCATGATTCAAGGAGTCATCAGTAAACGTCTTTATTACAAATATTGTTAAGCCTATTCCTATACAAGAACCTGTAACAAAGAAGACGATATGCAAAGTTAGGTACCCACTTACACATAAATCTATTTTTATAGATCGTTATAACAGTGTTGCAAAACATTTTTTTTTTTAAATGGACACCTTTTTCTTATCTTCGTATACAAATGATGAACCTTTCCTTCTCTTATTCTATGTAAAGAGGGCAGTTTATCAGGATCAAATTAAATCATGGGTTTCTATCTAAAGGAGAACCGCATAGGTGTAAGAGCTATTGCATTGTATTATCATAAATCATATGAATGTTTCAATCTATGCATTTGTTTATCTTTAGAAACTAGAAAACAAGTACATTTTCAGGTAATTTAAATATATATCCTTTAAAGCTTTGAATTCTTTTTGAGATACTTTGTATAATGATGTGCGGACATTGTTTTTGGCTTCCAAATAGCCGCCTTTTGTATAAAGTAAAGCGAGGTCGCAAGTAATCTTTTTTATTAACTTGTTATTGTTCAAATGTAAGGCTTCATTGTTTTCATTTGCTTATCATTTGCTTATTAAAAGTTTATATATAGTTTAATCAGGATATAATTAATTAATGTCCACGGCATTACGATAAACAATTAGGTGCGAGTCATCACGGTCTATATAAAAATAGGACATGTGATGTCAGATTCAAGGTACAATTATTGCTTAGCTTTCCGTACGACATTGGCTAAATTGTACCCGTTCTTTAGAACTAGTATGGCAGTAATCTGATTAAAATCAGCTCTAAATAACGCCCCACTTTTATATCTGACCGTGACCAAATACGAAATTATTTCTGGTGACTATTCACACAGTAGGTAATTTTCACGATTTCGAGAACAAACATGACGTTGTTCATATAGGTAAACTGGCAAAACAATCTTGCCCATTAAAATTCTCTTTTTTTCAAGTAATTTGTTAAAAATTACTTCAAACATTTTTTTGTAAAAACCGGTTTGATTGCATGGCGAAAAATACCTTTCTCGAGAAATCCGAATTACAAACAAGGCGAAACACATACGGTCGTCTTCAGATATACATAAAACAAATACGTAGATCTGAACTTTAGTCAGATTGAGTATGGCAGTTATTGCATTCCCTTTCTCACAGCTGACCATTCCATACTCTGTCTCTGACTCAGAAAACACGGTTCACAGCGTGGAATTTACGATGTAACATCGGTTGTAGAGTTATAATTGAATAGCATCATCAAACGTTAGGTTGCAGGCATATGAATTACACACCCACGTAACATATGTATTTGTCTTTTTGAGTTAAAACTACTTCCAATTTGTACATTTGCTCTTAAATAACTCATTGTCTGAGGGTAAATTTGCACATGTTATGAACTTTCATTCCTTCTTTAAAAAACTTATTATCAAAACAGTACTGCGACTTCGATGTTTTGCACCCAGATAGTACTGTTTTGTTTTTGATTGTAACACTTTTGTGGGCATCTAGAGAAATTTTAGCTACACTTCTCTAGATTCTCAGCGTACCTGGCAAAATCCAATAATATCTACGCATGAAATAATTTGCCTCTTTCTTTAATTAACTGACAACATCGCAGCATGAATTTTCGGTCAATGACCTCAGCCATTAATACTTTTTTATTATACTTATTTCTTACTTTGAAGTATTCCGATGAATAAGAAGCAACAAAGGAATACTTTAAAACATCAAACAGCTAACTTACCCCCAATACTGCAAATGTTGATATTCACTTTAACAAGTAATTTGCTTGTTACCGCTAGGAAAAGAACCATAGACAGTATAAGTGAAATCACTGTAAACGCAAGGCCGACTGTCTCCAGTACCTGAACCGCGATAAACCAACCTGTAAAATTAAATTGCATTAATATGTAACTCGATGTTCTGTGAACCAGAATAGTAATATATTATCATCATTTACTAGAATCAAATTGTAAAAGCCTAAACAAATTTAATAAAAGCGTCTTATTAGTGGATGAAAGTTTTTCTTTATTCAAATTATTTATTTACGTGTCATGATTATTTTTCAATAATGTAACATAATACTTAATCACAGAATATTAAGAATCGAAATATAATTTTAAAACTGAACACCACAGAAAGACTTGGTAATCCCGCGCCTCCTTGACACATTTAATGATACATGTATTAACAATATTTATTAATCTGTCGGTGTTCAATACTAAAATTATAACTAAAATATATGTCATGTACATCTTATTTTATATCTAAATTTCCCGGTAAATACATCTAATTTGATTGAAGTTTATAGCCTTACTTTATCGCTATTTTGTATGAAGCTGAGTCAAATATGTTCACTAATGCATGAATTAATGAACAGAGAATTTTTTTTAGCTTTTGTTTCGTTGTTTTAAAAAACAAAAGCATCACACAATAGCTTTAAATGTGTTCCACGAATTTCCTATCCCCTTCCCCTGTGCCCTTTTACTTAATGGGCCTAAAATATTAATCAATCACTTATTTGATTTCTTTGAATTTGATTTCCACGTCGGTTTCTATCATTTCTTATGTATAATTTTAGTGATTAGCCTGTCGCGCCCTGTCCCGCTTTTATTTGGGGTCCTCCTGGCTCCATGTCACTGATTCTTGTGATCTTGTTTATCATATTTTATACCATTCAACGACTTTCAGACCAATATGACATAAAGTCCTTGTTTAACTTAGTTTTCAGCTAATCATTTGTCTTACCGCTAGGAAAGGGAAACTACATGTTTTTAAGTCATATTTATCTAGTATGAAAATTATTTCCTTTGTTCATTTTAAACTGCATCTTAAATTATAAGTATTTATGCATACTGAACCTTTATGATTCAGGAACTTTACATTCATCTTTTGATTTACTAATTAATATATATTTTCTAGTTTAAAGATTTGTTTTACGATAAATAATATCCATAGCCCTGGTATCAATTCTTTCTTATTACTTCCAGATATTAATCCAATTGCTGATAATGATATACTATTTTCCTACTTATAGTAAAGATCTATATTTAATTAAAGATATACTATGCTCAAATTTAATATTACTAAATATTGATAATTGCTACACAGCCCATTTGTAAATATAAAATAAACATATGTTTCGACTTCACACAAAAATTCTATACACTATATGTGGTTGCAAGATGAATATATAGCGTCATTAAAAAACTGGCAGTTTTTAAAGAAAAGCACAACTTTACTTGACCTGTAATAGGGAACGCAGCTTCCCACACATAGTGTATTCATTCTGTTATTCAAATTAAAATTATTCAGTAAGAATTTCATAGATTTCAATAAATTCCTTTGATACAATTATTTTACTCAAGGATGAGCATAGTATATCTTTAAGCTATCGAATTATATTACCCATTCTTAATTTGAATAAGATAGCAACATTATACCTTCGCCACGAAAATTGCTTTCTTCGCACAAAACAAGTCCGATCACTTCACTACATGACCGCCACAATCCAGTTCTAGTGCCTACAACCCCTTCATATGAAAACACTATCCAGTTTGGTGTGGCTAATGCAACGGCCTGCAATATTATAGCCACGACGATAAGACAAATTGCTGTTATAAAATATGTAGATGAATCCTGTAAAGATTTCGCCATTTTGTTTTCAAGCAACACAGGTAAAAATATCCTGGATTTATTCCGTGTAAATAACAATTACAAACTGGCACTCTGTAGTGGTTCTGTTCTACAGTAGATGGTTATCTCACAGATGATGTAGCGTAGGTGGGTTACATATAATATATTAAAGGTACATTAAACCTCAGACATGAATACATTTTTGTGTTCATTCTGAATACATTTCTTTTCTGTTAAAAAATGCAAATATAACACCGCACTTTGGGGTTGGACCCCAAAGTCCGTTACGTACTTTGGGGTCCGACCCCAGTGTGCGTTACGAACTTTGGGGTTCAATTTCGACCCAAAAGTGAGTTAAACAGGTGCATATGCATTTTTTAACATCAAACAAACGACCTTACTATGGGTCATAAAAATCAATTTTCATCATGTTTTAAATATTATAATTATTGTAGTCAAATCCAATGGTAAACAAAATTCAAGGTATTAAATAGACGCAAAACATGTGCCCTGAAGTATAGTAGAATTAATAGGAATTAAAATGGTCTTGATCAGTAAGTGAAGAACTTTCATCAAATAAAGAATTTGTATCAATTATTAAGCTTAAAATATAATTTTCTCAAATTTTCCATTTATTTTAAAATATTATACACCTTTCATAAATTCCATTGTTTTAAGCTAATTGCATTTGTTTACACATTTTATAGAAATATGATAGACTTAACATAGACAAAGGTATAAATTCTTGGAAATCTTAGTAAGACATTTCAGTAAAAAATGTGCCTGATAATATGTTGAAAGAGCGATTTATTTAGCAAAATGTGACATATAAGAAACTTGACTAGGTGTAGATGCGACTTTAAGTAGAAGTCCGTAAAGGCAGTACTAAAAATATCATAAACTATTTAAGAAGTCGAACATTAAGAGCGGAGCTTCAGAACAATGTAAAATTTTCACTGGGGGTATAGAGGGGATTGTGGGGTATCGACCCCCCCCCCAGGGTTAAAAAACAACGTTTCAAAGGCTCTTTATGCTTTTATTTGTTTTTCTTAAAAGCTTTTTTATTTTGATGTTCTTCTATAATATCCAAACAATACATATTGGCCAATTACCTCATCTGTTGCTTTTTGGCAAAGATGAGTACAGTTATAGTGAATTAGTATTTTATATGAAAGTCAAATACTACATTGTTTTGACTACTTTTATGACAAATAATTTCACATTTATTGCTACTTTAATCAGGTAACAAGCATCTTACATTTCTCTGATACCATTATTTTAACATTATAAAATTCATGTTTGCTCTTTCTAGATTTCCCATTAAAAGCCTCTGGCGAAAGGTTGTTACGGAGCTTACAAAAAAACCCTTGAGCTTAAGTTATTTATTGTCCGATCGAAAAACTATTTCACCAGAACATTGCAATAGAGTATATTTATAGTTCTTTGGAAAACAATATTAACTGCATTTTCATTCCCATCATATTTATAATGGGGCTCAATATGGCACAAACAGTAATCAAGTAAATGACTGTCAGAACGGGATATTCTTTGCGGCATCTTTTAATTTTAGGAATACATCCACAATTTATGTAATAGAGTACTTTGTTATATGAACACAATTTTTAGATATTTCAAGTGGTAAAATTAATGAAACCTTTATCACTTAAGCATCAAATAAAGTGTAAATAAAATCAAAGTAAACAAAATAAAATCTTGAACTCCACCTCAAATATTTCAATGTCGCAGATTGGAAATAAGTCAGTACTCAGTATTTAAGCAGAACTCAGATGACACCTTTAGATCTCTGGAACCCAAAATGCGTTGATATGTAGCATATTAACGCACTTTGGCCGGGGTCAATTTCTTGATTTTGACCCCAAAGTGCGTTTGACCCCAAAGTGCGATGCGAAGTTTAACGCACTTTGGGGTCGGACCCCAAAGTGTGTTGGACCCCAAAGTGCGGTTTACAGGGGTACATATAATATATTAAAGGTACATTAAACCTCAGTCATGAATACATTTTTGTGTTTATTCTGAATACATTTCTTTTCTGTTAAAAAAATGCAAACAAGTGTTTTTATAAAATTATAATAATTGGTTTAGAACATGTGAGATGCATAACACCTGAAGTAAATAGCACTGAATATGAAATAATTTTTGATAAAGGTAGCAAACTGTAAACAAAGAGATATCGTTACTTCTATATATCAAATCATTTTTACCGTTTAAAAGACATATCAATGTTTATGTTGATCAGTTCTTGTCAAATTTTAATTTACCGGTTGTCACAAAGTGAAAGTACGTTTGTAAAATCTTGCATTATATTTTTCACGCCGAACCTCATTTTTACTCTATATTCATTGATGTGAGATTGCATCATCTTTTGTTCAATTTAGAGTTTTCAGGTGAAATTATTATTTAGAGTATTTTTATGGTTTGCATAAATTTCCATGTCTCAATTTAAACATCTTGCCGTTTATTTCACAAAAATCCTTTCAGTAATAAGAAAGTTACATTTTTGTTTTATGAACCAGATATATGTATTATGTCTGTATTTGAAGGACGGGCGTTTATTTTACATAACTATTTTTCCCGCCGTCCCAGCTTTATTTCGTGCAAATCGATTTTTCATGTTTTGCACGATCCGTTTTCCCGCTCAGTACTCAGTAGTTTGCTATATAATGACTAAATTTTAAGTGATATATTGCAATGCACTGGACGTTATATAGGTCACTATGACGGTGACAGACAAATTATATTTGTCATAAAATTACAGCTTGTACAAGGTAAAATTTAATTTTCTAGTGATTTTGTTTCATAAATTTTTGCTATTTCGTAAAATACTATTTTCTATTAGAATTATAGTTTATTTGATTCAGGTTTAGTTATTTGGCAGTAATTTATTGTTTTCTAAATTTTCTAAATTTTTGCAGATTAAATTTTAAAAGCTCTTTTTATTCTAGTGTTTCGCTATTGCAAATTTATACCGAGACATGTTAATTGATGTATGTTAATTGAAGTTTTAATTATATTGTAATTGTATAGGAGCCATGAATATTTTATAGATATATATATCTATTCATAAATAATTTATTATGGTTCTACCGTATTTGTGTAACTTTATGTAAAATGCTGCAGTATCGTAATGATTTGTTTCAATCAATTTAATTTACGTTATCATCTTACTTCATTTCATTTATCATCAGTTTTTGTTATAAGTAAATACAACGTATCTCTAGAGAAGGATCTTCAGTGGCATGATTTTGGAAGACGTTTATTTATTGGTGGTTATTATGTGGCGTATATTTGAATATATTTGCAACGCAGTATTATGCGGATGTGATTGAATTTTTGTTCCACGGAATGTATGGTGTACTATAGTGGACATTTTGTTTATTCAAAGAAGCACGTTATTTTATTGGAAACCGACAAAGGTCAAGTCTTTTCCAAGGGACTTTATTATACCCTTATGTTTGATTATCATGGAACTTACCATGTTTTATACTTTGTAGCTTCTTATTTGAGGACACACCCGAAGATGACACGGGCCCTCCACACGTATGTCCATGGCTAAAGGGTGACGCATGCCCTTGTTCAGGATCCTATCAACTGTGCCAACACTGTAGGAAGTACAGTTACGCTTGATAAGATTTTATACAAGACGCCCGCCATTGTGACGAATTTTGTTCAACAACGCCACCACTTTATTGAAACATCATGACAGAAACTTTACGGGAGAAATAGACTGAGATACGTTTGTTTGCGCAGTGATTTTTCATATATAATCATTTTTCATTTATAAATATTCGTTTCTTGTAAATAAATTTGTATATATTTTCTGTTCTGAGTTGTTGGTTGTTTTAGATAGCAATTGTGGTCGGCCCGGTATCCCATCTTAGTCCCTATTGTGACACCGGTAATTTCGGTATTCGTATTTTATTTTAAAAGTAAAGGGTACTGCTTTTAAAATTGGATATTTTTATTACATTCATATATACAGATTTGATCGAAACGAAGTTTAAAAGAAAACTCGACATTAAATGTACACTTGTGGCGTTATCAAACCCCTGAATTAAAGCGCGTGAAAGACACTACCCTTATCCTTACTAATGTTATACACATAGGTATGTTAAGAATTGTCTGATAGTATCATATTACTGGTGATTTGAATTTTAAATGCGGAACTGTCTTTTATTCATAATATATTGGGCTGAAGCAGGGACTTTGGAGTAGAGGGTACATTCTGGGTGGGGTCTGGTATCAGATCAAAGTCTCTTCCCCGCCGTCGACCGTGTCTGGACAATTATTACACTATTTACGGCAGTGTTTCCAGTTATGTGGATCGTAACGTTGATCATTTTAGTCATAGAAAGAATTTAGAGATTATTCTTATTTTCAATGTAATTTAAGTTTAAAGTAATTATTTGTTACAAAAGACATTTATAACTTAACTTTTTAGTGGACAAAACATCAAGAACCTTATTGTTTCTAAACATTTGGTAGAAATAATGGACAAGCCGGATGTTAATCGATGTATGAACACAACAAAAACAAAAAGTCCGAGGTTTTAGGCATAAAGATGTCTCAGATAAGATCTCAAGCTATGGGTCATTGGTTCATGTCGTATTGGA